CCAGGCGGCGGGTTGTGCCGACGTCAGCGGCACGACGCGACACTCTGAGGCGTGGCGTGGGCTGACCACGTCGCATGCTCACGTGATGTAGAGGTCAGCCATCTTGTCAACTGTGCTGTTTGTCGCGTATGTCTGCGTAGTCGCGGCCTTTGGCCATATTTGGTTCAAGCTTAACGATATTAATTGTGGGACTGTGTGTGTTGTTTTCGGTAGTTAACTTCGTGTCGGAGGCACCGCGTGATTATGAGTTTAGCTCCGTGAACTTTTTTGTATAACTTTTGAGGGGGAGACCCCCTCCAGTGATCCTTGGTTGAGAGAGAGAAAGAGAGAAGAGAGAGAGAGAGAGAGAGAGAGAGAGAGAGAGAGAGAGAGAGAGAGAGAGAGAGAGAGAGAGAGAGAGAGAGAGCGTGGTGCGTCATCACTCTGCACCTATCACCCAGCATTGCTCAGGCATTAGCCCGACCCACTTTATGTGGCATGTTGTCACTGGAAGCGGGCGTTGACATCAAATCCTCATGTTATCTGATTCGGTGTCATCCCGATCATGTCTCAGCCTCGTGCTGTGTCGACGGATGACGTCGCTCCCGGTCAGACGCGCCATGTGACCCGACTCGGCAAGGTCAGCGGCATAGCTCTGCGCGTGGCGCGACCAGCTGTCGGCATGCATTGCGCGGGCTCGTCTTCCGACAGCTGCATCGCATCTGGTGAGGTGTGCCGGGAGGCGAAGACGCGCCGGGCATGGCCGGTGTCGACAGACGCGCCTCGTCAAGGACGGGCCGCCGCTGGTGGTGTCGGGGACTCAACGGACGTGATCGACTTGAGTCTCTGTTTGTGTCATGAGGAGCTGGATGCCGGTTTCAGAGTCGGCCAGCAAGTCAGAGGGGGGTGACAGATCTCCAGTGTGCGTTCAAAGTTCTTAGGTTGAGTTAACCATCTGTGATATACCAAGAAGTACTGACAGTCCCTATGTTGAGTATGCGACCTTCAATATGGCTGGAGGTTCTAATGAAACGACGTTGTAGTGTTAAATAACCAGTACGTTAACGGTATCGATATTTCAAGATGTGCTCATCTTCAGGAGTGTCAGGGGCTTAGAAATGTTCAACAAAATATTAAACTTGAAAAATAAAAACACGTGAATCCAAAAAATGTTCGCACGTTGCAAATTGCGTTGCTTAGTGGTCCTAGCTTGAAGCTCATCGTAGTTCGATCAGCGCTGTAGACCCCACTGTCTCCAGCTGGGAGTGGACTTGCTATTTATGTGTGAATTGACTGGAAGAGAAGTGAGGGCGGAAGAACTTAGCATGCAAGATGTTCTGTAACATTTCCCCAGGATATTTTATGTAGGGGAAACAAGGCGTAGCATCCGTGACCGGTTAAATGAACACCCTGGAGACGCATGTTTACGGATATCGTACCCGCCATTAGGAGAGTGCATGGCAGATCAAGATGCAGCAATGAAACATACCGCAACAAATGCTAAATTTGAAATAAGACTTAAGAAATAACTAAATTTCTTTTTTAAATCTTTGCTTCGGAATCTTTGGAATCTTCGCCCTCGGCTGAACTACAAATTTTGCCATGGAACCGGGTTTAAACATGCTTAGGTTACACGCATTCCTGAGCTTCAAGCAATGTTCGTGGTAGCTAGTGGTAGCGCGAAGCGTGGAAGCGGCAAATAATGTTCGTAGCGAACACTTTGTTTCGGGCTTTGCAAACTTCCAGCGGAGCTGCCTGTTTGTGTGTTGTTTTTTGGGGGCGGGGATTTTAAACGCTGAACTGTATACGGTGTAATGCAAATATGGATTATTTTTATTGTTTCGTGTGTCTTGGTGGAAATGTTTGCGCACATTGGGAGCGTTTTTTATTTACGTGTCACCTTTGGGAATGAGCACAGCTCGAAATATTGAGTACCCTCAATATAATAGTTATTTAGTACTACAGCGTCGTCTAACCAGTGCCTCTCGGTATGCTGACGGTCCATCACCAACGTAATAACTTTTAACTGGTAATACCGAACAACCAGGAGCTGGAGGCCTTTCTTTCTGATATCGAGCAACAGATCGCCCCCATTCCCGATGCCTGGCCTCAGTGGCAGCTCCATGTCACGTCCCTGATAGCTGCGGGCTTCTGCTATCTCGGCCCACAATCGGGACAGGGAATTTTTGCGAGGTGCGGTGCTGGGACGCGAACCACGGGACGGAAGGCTGGAGATCCGCCGAAGGGGTGTTTGTGGTGACGTGCCTCTTCGAGAGATGAGCCCCGTCGTCCAGATGCGCGTCGAGATGCACGGATTCCCTGCCAGCGACCCTGCGTGTTGCGCAGGGCGGAGTTTGAGCTGCACACATCTCATTTGGGCGGGAAAATAAACCAATTTTTCTCAAGTGCATGGGCTTTTCTGTTCTCTAGCCATTGGAGGGTGATTTGAATCTGACACCGAGGGAGAGCAACAAACACGGCCCCCAAAACAACTACAAATTTTTGCCCACGGTAGATGGGGATCTGCCCGAGTGGTAAGACAATCCGTATGATGCTGGGCATCTCTACAATCAGGGTGCGTGCCAGAGCTTATTCCTCATGCAGGTGAACACCCTGAAATGGGCCAGGGTTGATGCGCGCGGCCGACATTGACCCCGTGCCTTCAGATCATCCATTTATTCCACGCATTTTCAGAACTTCTGTGGTGTGCGCATGGTGGGACGACACGCAACATACCAACGCTGTCTCATCCAACATCACACTTATCAAGCTCCGTCAGAGATAACGAGCATCGGGGGATCAGAGGTCAGAGCGGAGCATAGCCTGCCTCTCGCCATGAACAGTCACAGCCTCCCGATTAACGAAGTGACGCCCCAGCCCGGACCGCCCCCTGAATGGGTCAATCAGGGCCTGAAAAGGCGGCACCTGGCCGCGTCTCCGTCGGAACCTGGCGTCCATCAAGACTGACGCGCACGGCAGAACAGCGCCGGGCCGGGTCACGCATTCACGCTGCAATCCATCAGTGCTGCTGGGAATGCATGACCCCTCTGTGAATATAAGCAGCTGGGTGTCAGGTTCGCCTCGCCAAACCCTATGGCTCAATGTATGGAGCGGGCACAGCATGATCACAGCTGTACGTGTGGGTGTTTGGCCTGACGTCTATGCCAGTGGTAAAATTTGATTATCAGTGCCGTGACTGTCACATGCGACAATTTTCACTTCCTGTGCCACTGCCATTCCCCCCTGAGACGGTCTGCTAAGCGACGTGAGGCGCCGCGCCGCCCGGTACACGGCACGCGGCCCGGTACACTGGCCGTTACACGGTACGCGGTGCAGTACACCGCCCGTTACACGGCACGCGGCCCGGTACACCGGCCGTTACACGGCACGCGGCACGGTACACCGGCCGTTACACGGCACGCGGCGCGGTACACCGGCCGTTACACGGCACGCGGCGCGGTCCACCGGCCGTTACACGGCACGCGGCGTGGTACACCGGCCGTTACACGGCACGCGCGCGACGGTACACGGCGGCCACACGGCAACCGCGGCGCGGGTACACCGGCCGTTACACGGCACGCGGCGCGTCCACGGCCCGTTAACGGCAACGCGGGTGGTATATACGGCCGTTACACGGCACGCGGCGCGGCTCGTGCGACCGCGTGTCGGCTGACGCCGCGTGCGCTGACGGGTGGGCGCCATTAGGTCGCTATCGGCGCCGGCCGGTCACGACCTGGCGCGGCCGGCGGCGGCATCCATCAGCAGCGCCGGGGGCGATCGGCTGACCCGGCTGACCCGGCCGACACGCGCCGCCCTGCCCTCCCGGCGCCGGCCGGCCGGCCCGCCCCGCTAATCTGTCCGCGTTGGGCAACGCCGCCGGTCGGCGGCCCACACAAAAACGCCCGCCGGGAAACTGGACCTGGGAACGGCGCGGTCCGAGGAACGGTCGGAACGGTCGCGACGGAATTATCGCCGCCCGGCGGCCGCACACACGGACGGCATGGCAGGCATGACGGGACCATGCCCTGCACGGGAGGTAGGTGTCGTGTGATTGGGACGTTGACCGTTGACAGGGCTCGCTGCAGATCGGTGCGGTGTGGCTCGTAGTACATGTTCGAGGCTGGACTCCGCGGAGGTTCTGGCTCATATTGGAACACAGGTTACAGAAAAGTGCTTGGTGTTCAGAACGCCGTGACAAGGAAGCAGAAAAGACAAGTGCTTCTAACGTCGCGTCTGGCCGTCGAGCTCTGACCCTTATTTACAGCTCGCTGTTCGTGTGACAGCGCATATCAAACTTACCATAGCCCGTGCCATTGCATGCAGGATGTCAAGAGCATAACCTTTTCGGAACAATGGACACAGCTCAGAAATTTGGTGCGCTGTGCAAGGGACTGAGGTTCTGTTCGAACCCGGGGCAATAGCGGCCGAGAGCAAAGGATCCGCGAACACTGCGACGACTGGGGCCGTCGCCCCATCAGTGATCAGTGCCGGCTGCTGGCTGGCGGCCTGGAGTACCCCAAGAGTGAGGTACACGCGCCAACGCTGCGACGACTGGGGCCGTCTCCCCATCAGTGATCAGTGTCGGCTGATGGCTGGCGGCTGGCTCAGCGTCACACACTCACATCGGCGGCCTGGAGTACCCCAAGAGTGAGGTATACACACTAACACTGCGACGACTGGAGGCGCCGTCCCATCAGTGATCAGTGCCAGCTGCTGGCTGGTGCAGCCAACTCAGCGTCACACACACACATCAGCGGCCTGGAGTACCCCAAGAAACAGCAGTTTGACCCAGGCCAGGGGTTTTTGAACGGTGGGCTACACCGGTACGCTCATCACTATCAGCCGCCTTCTGAAGCCACCTGTCTGCAGTCTGTTCGTACTTCTCTCTCTTGCACAGGCGTCCCCCACCTTTCTCAAAGGCTGATTCAACTGATTTTGCCGCTTCGGTGCGTGTGCCGAAAGAGACAGCATCTATGCCCCTGATAAAGTCAACGTGACCTTCGAACGCAATTATTCCGCAGTTTCAGATGAGCTATGTTGCCCAGCATCTGGTCGGTCGTCCTCCTGGCGGTGACGACAGTGAAACATGCATCAGCACAACAGGTAGGTGATGTGTGGCGCATAGAACCTCAAATCCGGCCTCACATCACACTATAATCTTGATTATTCCAGTGAATGCTTTATACTACAATTTTTAGTTATGCTTGCACACACTGGCGCAGGAACGGGATTGTTAGGCAGTATCATGCTCCCAATTTCCGATGTTCTAAAATAACGGCTCGATTTTTCCACTTACGCACTTATATATATACATATATATATATATATATATATATATATATATATATATATATATATATATATATAGCCATTGAGTATGTTGGGATCCGCATATCCTTTGCAAACTTTAAGGAAGCTTTTTCCTACTGAGTCAAAAGGACGTTTCGTCGCAGTATTGTTGCATTTTTCAAGCTGTCCTTTTTATGCGCTGAGAGGTCGTGTTGAACTGTGTTAACTGTGACCGTTGCTTTATCTAGCGATGTTGACTAAATGTTTTAATATTTAATGTAACTTAATTGAATTTATATCACTGTCCTCGTCCTGATGATGATGCGCAATCTATCGAAACGTTGACAGCTACAAAAGTGGTGGCGACTGTTAATAGTCATTAAGTTTTTACTGCTTCCTAATACCTGATAATGTTCCATGTATGGGACTACTTAAATTACTGCATATATCTACTTATATATATATATATATATATATATATATATATATATATATATATATATATATATATATCAGTGCCGGCTTAATAATATACTGCAAATTCGAAAGTCCGTGGAACATCGAACGATGCATCAAAAAACCCATGAGTGCCTAATCAGCAGCCGTTTTCAATCAAACGCGCATAAATAAAAATCGATTGCCAGAAAATGCTGCAAAATTCATAAAGACAAGGGCCTCGTGCACCGAACATTTTTGCATCACAGGGTTCTGACGGCTCCCTCCTGCCGCCAATTTCTTGTCCATGGCAGGACCTCCATTGAAAATCATCGTAACGTAATCCCGGCCGGAAACTGGAACGCGGACCATCTGTTGCGCAGCAATTTGAAGCCACCCAACTAGCGTGCATGCTAAGCCGTTTGCTGCGCCAGGTTTGGACCGCTCTCGGTCAGGCATGGGCCGACTGCCGTGTTTTGGCTCGCAACCATTCAAAATCTCTGTATTATTCAGGCCTTCTGGCATTCATGATAGCGATCTGCAGCCCGAGCTCTGCCGAGTGTACCCGATCCCTCATTACCTGTGCCTCTGCCGAGTGTACCCGATCCCTCATTACCTGTGCCTCTGCCGAGTGTACCCGATCCCTCATTACCTGTGCCTGCTGCCGGATTGTACCCGATCCCTCATTACTGTGCCTCTGCCGAGTGTACCCGATCCCTCATTACCTGTGCCTCTGCCGGGTGTACCCGATCCCTCATTACCTGTGCCTCTGCCGGGTGTACCCGATCCCTCATTACCTGTGCCTCTGCCGGGTGTACCCGATCCCTCATTACCTGTGCCCCTGCGGGTGTACCCGATCCCTCATTACCTGTGCCTCTGCCGGGTGTACCCGATCCCTCATTACCTGTGCCTCTGCCGGGTGTACCCGATCCCTCATTACCTGTGCCTCTGCCGAGTGTACCCGATCCCACTCATTACCTGTGCCTCTGCCGAGTGTACCCGATCCCTCATTACCTGTGCCTCTGCCGAGTGTACTCAATCCCTCATTACCTGTGCCTCTGCCGATTGTACCCGATCCCTCATTACCTGTGCCTCTGCCGAGTGTACCCGATCCTTCATTACCTGTGCCTCTGTCGAGTGTACCCGATCTTTCCTTACCTGTTCCTCTGCCGAGTGTACCCGATCCTTAATTACCCGTGCCTCTGCCGAGTGTACCCCATCCCTCATTACCTGTGCCTCCGCCGAGTGTACGCATGCATCCGGTCAACGGGCAGTCGTGCGCGAGCGCGCATCCGCCCGTTTTGAGGCGTTTTTAAGGATTAAGTCCAGTCTCGGCAGCTAAAGAAATAAAAACGGGAAGCCAAGCGCAGATGCACGCTATCGCTGAACGTAATCTTCCCCCGAATCATTGGTAAGCCAGCAATCGACCGGAAAGTATTCAATGCCATCGTTTCCGAACCGACGTGGGGTACGAAGCGCTGTTGCTTGGACGGTGAGGGACTGGACCATTGAAAAAGACACCGGCGAGAAGCCCGGCTCAAGGTAAACAACACGCGTCAAATATGGTTGCGTCTCTATACTTGGGTCACAGTCACCGGAGAGGTAAACCGTTCTAGATTTCTCAATTTTGTCGATTAAGACTTTCAGGTCTTGCCGGGGTTCTAGCGAGTTAGTGTTTAGGAAATGGTAGTTGTTAATCTATGGGCAAACTTAGGCATCAGCGCTCCATTCTGCTAACCTCATGAAAAGGGTGTACCCCAAGCTACTGACAAGATCTAGAAAACCAGAGGGAATTTTCGCTTTTATGGAAGGATCGAGATGAGGTATTAGTATCACGGATGACATAAATATTTGAGTCATCGCCCTCGTCCAGTGTGTTACCATCTACACAACGTTTCGACCAAATAATGCTCATTGTTCTTCCCGGTTAGCTCAACTGGTGGAGCACCGGACTCGCAATCAGATGACCCTGGTCCGAATCCCAGCAATTCTAAATACAGAATTGTGACCCTATTTGTGGTTGTGACCCTACGTGGCTGAAAACCAAACATCATGTCCACGCTTTCTCTGCTCAGGTTTCCATTAAATACGACCGCTTCCGGAGAGTTAGCTGGCCGAAATGTTGTGTACATCCCAACGTACCAGACCAGGAAGATATTCCGGACAATTATTCCAGCCAGGAATTCTCGAAATCACCATACTTGTATTCACATAGTCATGTGCGGCGACCTAATCATACAAAACATGAACTTTGATTTTTTAGCACCATGAAGACATAATAAGGATATCGGTTGTAACTACTTTTGCTGCTGTTTATTTTCGTGTCAAAATTACGCTTTCAACGATTTGTAACAGCCAACGCTTTTTCCTTGCAGTCGCGCCACCGTCGTCATGAACACGACCGTACGCATTTCTACTGGTACGACTAAAAGAACATTTGCGATTGGCTCGACGGGCAAGGGCCTGTTACGGAAAGCCTAATTGATTGAAACTTGGCTCAGTGCGTCGTTTGAAGCATGCGATACTTCCATTCTCAAAGCTAAGGTGTGGCTCGCAATTAAAGAGCCACTGTGGTCGACGCCACAGGGAAGAATCAAAGCCATAGCATAACGTTTCGTCGAATTCGCGGGATAAAGGCTTCATAGTCGCATATTCTCGTATCTAAACAGAGTGCTTTAAGCTTTTGTTGCATTTTTTACACAAACGTTTTGTTGCGTAAGTGTATTGCAAACTTCACAGAACACACATGTTGTGAGACAACCAGGTGAATAAAATATATTACTTTCATAGCGGTGAGCAGGAAGCCAAGTGAGATTTCCTCCACAGGGTCGCAACTTCAAATCGGAATTCTGAGCTATTCAGAGGATTTAGAGAAAACAGGTATAATTGAGCACATCATATGCGTCTGATGTTACAATAAGTGAAAAGCACGATCAATGTGGGATACTTCCATAAAAATGTCACGCGAAAAACAACGGCCAGTGAGCAAAAATGGAATTGTTATTTTTATGATAACAATTTGGACGCAGCTAATGGAATGTTTTTCAGACAGCACGTCGGAGCCATCTGTTACCAAAACGCTGGCTCTACATTGTTGTCGACCATCCTTAACATTCGTCTCTCCCTTTTTTAACTCGCCGTATATGGCGTAGTTCCTCTGAAGAAATTTCTTCACTGCTTTATGGGCTTGACTGACGATTTAGTTTACTTTATTCAAACCTTGCAGGTGCTTTAACACGAAGAAACATTAAACAAAGACACAGTGTCAGTCCAAGTGCCCATTTCATTTTTCTATTGGGATATTATTGCTAGTGGGGAGGGGGGGGGGTTGAAGACGTGTATAATTGTGAAAGGACACCGTCTGCCCGCAGCCGTCGATCTCCTCGTGTTAGCAAACATTTGGTGACGTCATTCCGTGCACCGTCAAGCCGTGGTTTAACGCCCTATTTACGACGCGGACGCTTCCGTTTCTGTTCGGAGGCGGAGGCTCCCAAGCGTCGCATGGGTAAACAGCAAACCCAGACCTTTAGTTGCTTTGCTATAGCGAGATATGAGCCCTTCATCGACAATACGATGCGCGGTAGCGATATATAGCATTATCATCGCCAGAAAAGACAGTGGCCGCCACCGTAGCCCTGAGACACTGCAGCTGTTCCCCGGTGTTTGCGCGTCGAGGGCCGAGGGCCGGCCGGACGCCGTCGCCTGCCGCCTCCGCGCGCGCTGAACAAGGTCACCGCGGTCGCCACTGTTGGCGGCCGGCCTCCGCTTCCGCGACTGGAGCCACTCACGCCTCCTGTCCGGCCCCGCCGACGTGACTGGCGCAGCTGCCGGGTCCGCGAGTCGTGTTTGGTACCTGACCCCTCCCCCCCATGGCTCACCTGGTGTTTCGCGCAGTGTTCGCCTGTATCACCCGTGACGTACCCGACGTGTTAAAGGGACCGACGCCGCAGCGACTGGCATGACCTTCTGTGGAAATCGGTAAAAAGGCAATGCAAAAAATCGAAAGGCAATGCAAAAAATCGACCTTATAGGAATAATTAATCTTTCATTCAAAGCGGGATCTGTCGCCACCAAAAAAATAATGCAAAACAAAACGTCCAAACACCCACGAATCGGAAAAGCGCAGGATTTTGTACTGTCGAGAATACGACCGACCGCCAACACAGTGCATAACCGCAGTCAGTGTGCGCCAGTGGCGCCTGTAACGGCCGTCGCGGTCGGTGTTTCAGTTCTCGGACGTCGGGTTCAGCTGCCAGGGCCGGGTGGGCGGCTACTACGCCGACCTGGCCGCCGACTGCCGCTCCTACCACCTGTGCGACCCGGCCGGGCGCGCGTTCGACTTCGCCTGCCCGCCGGCCACGCGCTTCCACCAGCAGTTCCTGGTGTGCGACCACACCTTCCGGGTCGACTGTCCGCGCTCGCCCCGCTTCTTCGCGCTGAACGAGCTAATCGGTCAGGTGCCGGCCAGGCCAGGTCAGTCTGAAGGTCAGGACAGACCAGGTCAGGTCAGGTCGATGGAAATGTGACAATGGTGTCGGCCGAGTCAGGTCGTCGGAGGTGTGATGTTGGTGCCGGCTAGGCCACGTTAGTGCTGGTGGGACGATGACAGTGGCCCGACTAGGTCGGTGCTGCATGCTGCTGAAACAAAGATGTCACCGCCAGCTTTTTAAAGTAAAGATATACCGTCAACGACCACCACATACTAATAGTTCCAAGCGTGCCATGGACACACGTATATGTCACTGTCAGCTGAACACCCTTGTTTTTCTAAGAACGGCAGCAATAAAAATTGCTGATCCTGATGACCTCGTCCACTGTAAACGCTGACTCTGGTCATGCAAATCAGTCACGCCTCCCGTGATGCTACTCTTCTCCGCTCAAACACGATAGCTACGCGCTTAGTCCAGAAAATGGACACATCTGTGTGCTTGGTGCAAACGAGAAATGCGTCCTGGTCTTTCGACATTGTGAATGTGCTCAGAACAACTGGTCTTCAGCATGCCAGCCATTCCTAGCTCTTCGAAGATACGACAATGGGATGCATTATGAGGACAGTCCACGTCTTAGCAGTGCTCATGCTTACGACTGGCGTGTCCCATAACAGGTGGATATTTGTGGTGTAAACAGAATCTCCCGCTCTAATGAAAGCCAGCCACACTCAGCGTAAGGACCATAACACACATCTGTGATCCTGCTCAGGAGCAGCACATTCTGTTCGGTGGTCAGGTTATAGAGCAGATGTCCCTTTAGTTTTACGTCCCACATGCGGCGTCCGGTGCCAATATTCAGTTGCGCATGTTTGACTTGCGTCTTGCCTTCTCTGCAGTCCTGGGTACAAAATTTCGACGCCTTCGTCGCCCTGGCTGCCACGGTGACCTCCGCCCGGTTCGCTACGGTTTCAGAGTCGGAGCAGCAGAAGCGTGCGGCTAAGAAGGACGCAGTCGAGCCGCCGAGGTTCGGACCGACATCAAACGCGCTGGGCCCGCGGCGGCCAGAGAGCGACGCAGGGCGAGCGCTGCTCAGTCTGGCCAAGCTCAGCACCCAGCTGACGCGCCATCAGCCGCCGTCTCCGAGCGCCGGCGACCAGCCGACCTCGCGGGCACAACGGAAACGGTCCCGGCCGCCCGCCAGCAATGGCGGCAACCGCCAACAGGTGTCGTCACTAGTGCCGTCCATTATCTCACAGGTGGCAGCACTGGGCGCGCGCAGGGACCCGATCCCGCAGCGTCCGGATGTCAGGACTTTCTTCCCGGCCCAGTCCGAGCTCACCGACCCCGCCATCCGTCCGAGGAATCGCCTGCGTCTGCAGCGTCTCACCAAGAGCCTGCAGGGCGGCCCCCGGCCCTCGCAGAAGACGGCGCTCCTCAAAGCCCCGGCCAACACGCTGTCGTCAGCGGGTCAGCTGCGGCCAGGCCGGCCGGCCCGCCGCCAGGGCGTGCGCGGCGCCGGCGCGGGCTGGACGCCGGTGTTACGGCGCGGCCCCGACTGGGATCCGCGCTGCCCGCGCTGTCTGGCCTCGCTGGTCGTCTCCTGGGACGCCTGCTTTCCGTGCGTCACGGTGTTGCGGTGAGCTCGCGCCGTGGCGCCGGTCGGGTGCGAGGGCGCCCAGCGCCGCCCGGCCCGCGGGCCGAGCACCGCCGCATGCGGCCTGCCGGTGACGCATGAAACTCGGGCGCGGTTTCTGAACTTGGCGTCCGCGCCGCCAGGCACGCTCGCAGACAGTGGGCTAGCGGACTGGAGGGCTAGTGTTCCCAGTGCTCCAACCAGCAATGGGTTGCAGGTGCAGGCGTGGCGCTGCTGTGCAAGGTTACAAAGACGTTGGCCGAAAGCTACGGTGCATACGTGTGATTAACATTTTACCTGAATGAACCACTCCTTTTCTACATGATAGCCATAGTCAGCTCACGGCAGTGCCAAACACCGCATGTGAGGTACATCCCGCAGAGAATGTTCGCCGCGTACCGCAGGCGAAGAAGCTTTTGCCGATTACCTGGCACCGATGATGTATGTCTATATGCACTAGTTGTCATGGCGTATGTGCGGTGTGTGCGCATGTGACTGTGTGCGAAATAAGGGCGGCGTAGGTATAAGCGTCATTCCGTGCCAAGACTAGCGACTTAGTTTCAGAAATAACACCGTTCTTGCGATGATCGTGAGTTTTCGCATCGAGGCCAAGTGACAGATCACGCTCCAACTATGCCACAGTTTAACACTATAAACATATGTCCCAGGTATAACGAGAGTAAACTTTGCCTTCCAAAAGCCGATTGGCAGCGCCAGTACCTGACACTGAGTAGCTCCTAAATATATTCAACGAACATTTGATATATCAGTCAGTCGAAACACTCGCAGTGTTCGTAACACTTCACCGAACAACACGTCGCACGCAATCGTCAACCACAGCCCAGTCCAACATCTCGGCCGTCAATGTTCCGTCACACTATCGGAGTCCGAGGCCTCTGTCCGCAGCAGTTCCTCAATCTCGTCCGTGACCGCGCGCACCACCTCCGCCACGTCGGCCTCCTCCGGCACATCCACGGCCACCTCGCGCCGCCACGGCCGCGCTGTCGTCGAGCTCAGGCAGAGCGTGGGCACGCGACGCGGGTAGTCGTCCAGCAGGAGCTCGGCCACGGCGTCGTCGAAGCGCAGCGCTACACGCCGGTAGCAAACCGGCTCGTAGTCGAGGAGGCGCGGGCCGTGTACGGCCGTGAGCGCAGCCAGCAGGCAGCGGCGCGCCTGTCGCGCAGCCGCCGCTCCGTCCAGCTGGCGCTGCGTCAGCTCGGTCACGAGGCGCACGTACTCGAGCAGTGGCCGGTCGGCCGGCGCCGGCAGCCGGCAGCCGGGTACGAGCGCGCGCAGCGCCGCCGACAGTCGCAGACGCGCATGCACGCGCGCCGAAGTCTCAGTCGCCTTCAGCAGGAGGAGCGCGGCCGGCGCGCCGGCGTCGGCCGGCGGCAGCGCGTCCAGCCGCAGCGGCAGACGCACGGCGACGAACAGCGCCGGCCGCGGCTCGTGTGCCGCCACCATCGGCTCGAGCGCGTCGGCGCCGAGCGCCTCCAACAGGCGGCTGTACTCGGCCTGCAGGCGGCCGTTGGGCGCTAGCCAGCCGGCCACGTGCACCTTGTAGGCGGCGAGCAGCTGGCACAGCAGGTCTGGCAGCGCGTCCGGCCGCCAGCAGCGCAGCGCCGGCAGGCGCCGCTCCAGCTCGTCCACGTCGCAGTCCGCCAGGAACGACGCGTCGTCAAAAATGAAGTCTGCCGGCGACACGAACACCGGGACTGAAAGAGGAGGCCGGTCGCAGCGTGGCGGGGTGTGACCAGCCCCAGAGATGGGGCCCTCCCGACAAACGTGGCCGGCAAACTAGAGTATATATATATATATATATATATATATATATATATATATATATATATATATACATTGAACAAAAGTGGCTAAGCAGCAATTTTATGAACCATAGAACATCTACAACTTCCGTCAATATTGAACCGTCTTCTACAGCTCGGCTAGAGTTTCTTCCGCTCTGAACCCGTATCAACACGACATTAATCTAGGAATCATCTTCCAGCATGAGTTCACCACTACAAACACAAACATACGGGCTCACAGGCTCCAGGGACACAGGCACCAGCGGCACAGGCGCACGGTCTCCCGACCCCGACGTGATCTACCATTCAGCAGCCTCCGGCCGATCACACTTTCTAGCCCTACGTCATCTTCATTAACTAGCCGACCACAAACATGAGGAGGGCCTCAACCTGAACGGGTGAGAACAGCTGGTCGCAGCCGCCTCCAAGCAGACTCGACACCCACACGGCACTACAAGCAGAAAACGGGACCAAGCGGTACCAGCGGGCCGCCACGTCAGTCATGTATCCCACACTTCACAGTCTCACGTAATGCAGGACACGGCACTTCAGCTCCACCGACATGGACACCTGCCCCGATCCTCGGTAACACGGCACTTCAGCTCCACCGACCTGGACACCTGCCCCGATCCTCGGCAACACGGCACCTCAGCCCCACCGACCTGGACACCTGCCCCGGTCCTCGGCAACACGGCACTTCAGCCCCACCGACCTGGACACCTGCCCCGATCCTCGGCAATACGGCACTTCAGCCCCACCGACCTGGACACCTGCCCCGATCCTCAGCAACACGGCACTTCAGCCCCACCGACCTGGACACCTGCCCCGATCCTCGGCAACACGGCACTTCAGCTCCACCGACCTGGACACCTGCCCCGATCCTCGGCAACACTGCACTTCAGCTCCACCGACCTGGACACCTGCCCCGATCCTCGGCGTTCAGCAGAACTGTCACCCGGAAACTGGTGTTGCTGTATGGTATCGTGAGCACCGCCCGGTCGCGCACGGCGTCTGGCTCGCACGTGGCATCAGCACTGCAGTAGTCCTCCACGTGGGTGCGCGAGCCCCTGAATCCTGCCATGTTGACAGACAGCTGGTGTGAGCCAGATACAGTGGATAGCAAGGGAAACAGATCCATGCTCATCTTGGTCATAGACAGGTGTGATGAGTGCTGGTTTTCTTTGCTTGTTCTTTTTTGTGGCCAATAATGGGTATGATACCAATGAAAAGGGAGAAAAACAACACATGGTTCTGATATGAGAAATTCCTGTCTTCATTTATGACAGTGCTTAAAAGTGGAAGGTCTTGGTAGTGAATCATTGATGAAAACCTGGGAGAATATATATAACATGCTTACCCACAGTCCTAAGAGACAGTTCACTGAACAAGGAGCTTTCCTCCATGACATGTCATGTACTCATAGAATGAGCTTCAGAAGGCCCTGAAAGAAAAGAACATGTCTTCACCATTTTCCAACAAACCTTGTCCTTATATATATTTTTCTAGGAGGGGGGGGGGGGGGTAAAACACAATAATCTATCCTTTACAGATAATTTGTCCTTCACTGATAACCTCTCTTCTGTCCTGTACTGATATGCTGCCCTCTACTGATATTTCTGATTGCTGTCCATTACTGATTGCCTGCCCTCATGAATAGATCAGGGTGGGTGGATCAGAACAAAGGCACTCCAACCAACTGAGCTATCAGGACAAACAATGCAAGTCTCCAACTTGATGCAACTTGACTGCAAGTCTCCACATTCTCAGAGATAATGGCTCTGTGTATTTGAAGAAATGCAAAGCATACAAGGCAATGCAAGGCAACATGATGCCCACATGGATGCCGGCCCAAAGATAGGCTAGCTGGGACCTTGGAATATGGCTGTTGGCTGCGCACTAATGGACCATATTGTGGCAGCAGTGGACAAATGCCCATTTCTTGTGGAAGTGGGGATTGGTCTGCTGCTGTAAAACAGCTATCTATTCTATCATCAGAAGTCTTTTCAGACTTTCCAACAATGAAAGCAGCCATCAGTTGATCCACCATCATGTGGCCTTGATGTCTCAGTATCATGCCATCTGTGTAACAGACCAACAACCTCTGCTGGACCATTAGCATCTGCAGTTTATGTGACATGGTTCTTATGGTTATATATGGTTATATAGTATGGTATGGTGGTAGCAGGTCTCAGTGATTGACAAACACCATTACAAATTGAATACTTGCAATTCTTAAATTTTCTAGATTTCCAAGCAAGTGCTTCCTTCCCAAGTCTATGCCTGCACCTACTGTATTTATTAAGCTATGGAACTGATGGAAAGTTGTTGATATTTATTCATAATTCTATTGTAAGGTGTCAGTCCCATTAAGGGCTGATAGAATGTAATTGTGAAGTTCCCTATTTTGCTGGATAGAATAACCCCTCCCCAACTTTGAGAATACAATTTGATCAAAATCAAGCAGAACATGGTTTGCACCATTTCTTTGGGATACAAGATTTCTCTGCTCACCCGCTCCACAAAGCTATGTACAAAACTACACCACCTGGGACGTCAGGCTGCTGCGTGATCGGAGCTCGGGGGCCAGCGCAGCAGGGGCGGAGGAAATATTTTCTCCTCACAGAGCAATCCAGCCGCATAAAGTTCGCATCACCACATCTACTCACTGGCTTTAAGTCTGATACAATACTTTTCTCAGTGTATGAGTAGGCTAAATTTATATATTGTCTTCATCTACACCACCAACCAGAAGCGCTACCACCGCCCCGCGCGCGGCTCCTCCAAAACGAGGTCGGTAGGCTACATAAATGGCGCGCATACAATAGCAGGCTTCAACGATAGGGCCGCTGTAGGTTATTTATCGGTTTTGGTATTGCTTTTCAGGACCTTATTGATTTTTAGAAAAAAATATTGATTCGCGAAAAGCGGCTGAAGTAAAAGGTAGAGCTCAAAAGACGTACATATTCATATAAATACACCAGTAAAAGCTAAGCTTAACGGAGAACAAGAAACCCTGCTTTGGCTTTATACTCAGATAATGATTACGTGGCGACGGTCTGTAGATCGAAAGAAAAAATGCCATGCTTTTGTTTAGACACTTTTACGCATTTTCATCACGCATTCAGCTCGGACTTCTTGGTGGAGAATATGCCTTCTCTCCAATGCTAAATCCTCCCCGAGAGCCGGAGACTCGCGGAACCGTGGTTTTCCGCGTGCCCAGGGAGTGTTTGGGATGGTGTTTGACGTCACCATTATGCGTTCTATACAATACCAATTTTTGATAGTTTCAAATGCAACGTTAATAAAAGTGTTGGTTAAAAAGATGTATTTATCAGTATATGATTCATTCACCCCATATTTAGAGGTACACGTAGGTGCGACATCACACACTTTCAAATAAATTTTTCTTGTGTTACGTGATTCCTATGTGCAACTCAGAAAGGTTGAATCGTGCCGTGTACGAGCATTCTCTGCGCTTTTCCCTGGTCCGTCAAGAGACGCTGTTGTTTTGGGTACAAGCTCGGGCCCGGTGTATGCGCGCGTCGGTGTCGTTATTGGACGATGTGTGGGTTAAACATGTGCTGGTGAGCAGCAGCAGACCTGGGCACTGAATGCTTTGCAAGGAAGGATTATGTGTGATATGGAAGATAGATTCGGCTGTAGCCCGCAAGCAGTATCCGTCGTTCAGTCGTGAGTGTGGCGCGTGATGCTGCTGAAGTTGCGGGAACAGCTTGCCTCCATCTCTCACCGAGAACAATTTTTTACGTTCTTTCCGGTGTATATTTGTGGAGAACAAAATGTAGCGGGGCTAAAAACACAACAAAAAAACGCCCAAGTTTCGGACACTGGTCGCCATAATCATGTTATTAACATTATAGACATCTATCATCTCACCTTTTAAATGCAATAATCATATCATGCAACAAGGATCATACAATTCTAACATAACTGCATTATGATACAATAGTAAATGTCACCACACAGTTTGATACATGATGCCCAACAACTGAAGTGCACCAAGCAATGTTTCAGGGATTTATGATGTTGCACAATCACGTTAAGCAAAATATCTCCAAGTTTCTACAAAACTTGAAGTTTCAGCGCCATTTGGCCTGGGTCGTGGTGGCGGTGATTAATTTGTATTTTAAGGAGCATCAGCAGCGGGGCCATTTTGCACTCACTCCGTGAGGGTCATCTGTCTGCGATGGTATGGGACCATTGTGTTGTCAACTAAGAACAGGCGATATCACTGGCACGCTTAGACTGAGGCGCACTGAGAGGTGAATAAAAATAATGTCAAAGTCAATGTGTGCTAAGGATGCGAGCAAATCTACGATTTCATGGCCTGGGTCTCGACCAGTTAGTCGATGAGGGGGCGCTGGTGGGAAAAATCGTCGCTTTTACTTTTCAAGGTGCCGGCATAAGACAAGCACAAGTTCCACAGACATCCGGTCCCCGCATCTGTCACAATGTGGCACATCCTTGCGCGTCAAGAAAGACGAGTGTGCTGCGCGTGCATGACTCAACCGAACCCTACAGAAGGCAACTTCCCGGAAGCGGCTTCGGCGGTGAGAAGATTCTCATTCACCCAACTGGCGCTTGATTTCCCTGAAAGTGCGATGTTGGTCGAACGTGTTCTGCTACCCATCGCGGATGGCTTAGATGTGACAGACTTAGGTTTCCAGCGGACACACAAATTGTTGGCGGCTTCTTCTCGCGTCGTCGAGAAGACGTCGTCGTGGACGTCGCAGCTTTCGCTGCGGCATCCGCTTTCTCGTTTTCCGCTTTCCCTATGTGGCTAGGGATCCACATAAATCGTGATGCGACAGGAAGTGTTGTCCAGCCATTCCAGTTCCTCCCGAAACGAGGGCGCCAGAGTCGCGCGACATTGCCGTCGCGCGGCCACTCCCAACGAAGTGCACGAAGTGAGCCGGTCAAAATGACTAGCATCCCTTTCTGGACCGCTACTTGGCCTTGGTTCGACACACACAAACACGAAGTTTAGCGCACCATATCCGTTCACTTGTCCCTTCCCGAATTACTTTGCATTAAATTGCAAGCTAATCGCATACTAGTTTTGGTAGTCTCGGCTTCTGGTGTACTAGTGATGTACTAGTCTGTGTATATGGTAGCAGCAATGCTCTGGGAACTACAAAAATGCTGTACAAAGAAATACTTAGATGGCGATCGTAGTTGAATTAAAATGTGGTATCGTTGAAGAACGCACCGCAAAATTAGCGCTGGTGGGAAATGTATACATATTTTTAAGGGTGAAAATCACACATCCTCTTCATCAACAAGTAATAGATGCAATCAACAAACTTTGTCACTTCACACTGACTGAAGACTGCCTCATCATTCAACAGCTAATCAAAGCACGAGCAGAGTTTGCTCTACACTGTATCCGTAGCCATTCAGGAGTTGACAGGACAGCTTGGTGGAGTGGTTCCCTTGCTAGAACGTAAGATCGGTCACTTTATTAGTATTGTAAAGAAACATAGACTCACTCTGGCAGGACCGCTGCAACGCTTGTGGCATAGTCTCTGTGAAAGATCACGGAAGCAAATATTAGAGCTGGAGCCGATTTTAACGGGCTTTACGAGATACGGCCGTATGCCAACGATCCTGACACTCATATCCCTTGCCGTTCACTGTTCAACGAGTTTCCTGCATGGAGATATTCCCGCCGCCTACATGCACGACCGCTGCCTGCGCGGGCGGCCCGCCGTGCTCACGCCGAGCGAAGGTGGGGTCACTATCTTCCTGTCTACCTGGCATTCTGGAAACCCACAGCGGTCGGCTGCAGTCTTATCCGATATGGCACGGGTGACACCCGTTCGGGAAGTCTGGGGAGTGTGGGCCGATCGCTGGCGCCGATCGCCACGGCGCCGCCGCCGGCTCGGACGGTTCCGCCGCGCCCACGTCAAGCATCGGCGGGACTGGCGTTCTCCCCGACGTTCGTGTGACAGGTGGCGTAGGGTTCACCCGCCGTTGTGCCGGATCCCGTGACGGGGTCCCGGGGCGCGGTACCTGATACTGCCTCGGGGTGGACGTTGGCACACTTGGTGCCGCGGTGATGCTACCGCTGTCCACGGGTCGGCAGCCGTGTATGTAGCGCCGGCGTGCAAGTTGGTGCCGAATCTGCATCGTGCGTGGCGTGATATATCGTCCTCCTCTGCCTTCGCCAGCTCTAATGCACTTACAGAAAGATGAACAGCACAAGTACTTGCCACGCTCAAATGTAATCGGGTGCACGAGCAGGCACCCAGCCAGAGCAGGTATTGGTTAGCCAATTTTAAGTTAATGGAACGAACACTTCCCGGTACTCATGACCAGCTAGAAACTTGCACAGTAAGATAATCACAGTCATAACAGGAAAGTACATCCGATAACACGGATGCACTTTCAAGTATCTAACAATGTCATGATGCCTTGTATTTTAACACACATATTAGTTACCAGACAATACACGAGATCCGTGTTTTATATATTTTATAATGTCATAACACTCTTTGAATCAACATATTTATCAATTACTCAATAATGTGCCTGCAGCGGATCTATCGTCCCTCAAAAGGTGATTTTCACAAGCCCTTCACGACGCCTGACTAGCTCCCCGGTACGTGCGAGCCAACGTGTCGAAATATGATTTTGGCTATTTTCGACGTGTTTACACTTTTTGCGACGTCGCGGCACCCAGGACACGAAGCGACTCAAGAGTGTTATGCTTCAAAACGCAATCTAACGGGCAATCACGTGATGTAAGATGTGATGTCGCACGTACACACCAGCTGTGAAGATGCTGATGGCTGAATGTTGATTTCGTCGGTTTTTGCATTTTTACGCCACATTTCCGCACTGAAAGCATGTCGTCACACGGGACTGGTATGCCGCGATTAGGAATGCGATGGCATGCCGTGTGTTTCCCCAGGTGCGTGCGCACTGGTTACGCAACACCTTCGCGCTCCGGAAGGAATGAATTTCGTTTTTTTTTGACAGGTTTTAAAGTTCTGTGACAAATCGCAGCACCCAGGACGCGGAGCCAGTGGGGAGTGGCATGCATTGATAGGGAATCGAACAGGCAATCACGTCGCATGAATTGTCATGTCGCACGTGCTGCATGCCACGCGTGCACGAGCCAGCAAGATATTACCGGCCGTTTTTCACATTTTGCCCCACATCTCGGCAACCAGGGCACCTAAAACCGTGATTTAAACCGCAATATATAAATAATTGAGATTTCCGTGTTTTTTGTTAGCACAGCGAAGCAAGCGAGCAAACGTTTGATCGCCACCAATTACAATCAACGACACTCCACCGCGCACGCCGGCAAACCACACAGCTGACTTGACTGCACGGCGACTGCATCTAGTCGTTTAGTTGTCTGGTCAGTCTGGTGCAAGCTGCCCAAAACTGGTGTGCGGTTAGCTTGCAATTTCACGCAAAGGCAAGCGATGGAATTGTCTGCAAAAGCTGCCTAATAGTGCTGCAATCCGTTATAGCGGCTCACTAATTCACTGCAAGTCTAAGTGAAAAAGTATAGGTATTATAGCCATAAAAAGTACTGAAGGCGATG